AATTTCAGCTTTTTCAATACTCCAAGTTATAGAGACAGATACAGAAGAAGTATTAGTTGGACTGTTTTCTTTTTTAATTTTGTTTTTTCACCTTGCGAATGCTGAATTTGTGATGCCAAACAACTCAGATTGATTCTTTCCCATCTGGCGCAATGGATGATGTAACTATCTTTTCTTTGCATGCATTTGTTTGTGCTTTGCTGATGGTTCACTTTCATTTTGACTGTCCCCTATCGGTGCCTGAATTTCGAGAGCTTACGTTCACCAACTGCAAATTGAGTTTTTGTCCCAAGTCCTGTAATCAGTGAAATACTTATTTGTTAATAAATCCTATCAGACTAAATTCATTCTCACACAATTTAACCACTCCGCTAGCTAGGCAGCCTTTTGAAGTTGTCTGTTCTCGGACTTCTATGTAACGACCATTTGCCTTTCAGTATCTTACGAGATATTTGGCTCATGAGATATCCGTCAGAGATAGCTGTTTGCCAACCCTGACATCTCACATCCTGTTTTCTCATCGCTTTGCTTTTTATTTCCCGTCCGTTTGCGTTCACCCCAAAAATCTCTAAGTCATTCAGGTATCTTGTTTTTGTGTGCACTGACAGATGATTGTAAAATGCCACCAGGATGGATATCGTGAACTTCAGTGGAATTATTGTTGAGCTCACCTCTACGTCTGGCCCACTTTTCAGCTTTCAGAGTTTGAACAGAGTTGTCCCTGTTTGTAAACTGAATCTTTTTCCTTATTTTGTCAGGTTTATTCGACCCGACTCCCATACAACCTCAGCAACCAATTTCTCCGCAGTCTTCAAATTTGACGCTCGGATCGAAGCATATCGGTCCGGATGCTCCGACTAAACCGTCACGCACAAATGTGACCACGACCGACACATCGGCCTCCGTTGTTCCCGCACCATCTGATTCCGGTGAGGAGCACCAGATGCTCGGGGCCAGTGTAGTGGGTATTGGACTCACGGATGCTATCGCCTCAGTTCCACCTCTTGAGAAAGCCAATATATCCACCATCGAGCCGGAGGTTCGTGAGTCAATCGTTTCTATCAATCCGACGTTTTTTGGTTCACCTCCTAGTAAATTTCATAAATACTCCCTGTCAGTGATTTATAATAAACATGAATGGCTTGTGGAACTTGCATAAACGATCCACGTGTAATGAACCGAAATCGTCCAGTTTGCTCTGTACACAGTTTTCTCCTCAGCTGTCACAAATCTCATTCTCAGCAGCAAGCCTAATCTATGGAGGTCAAACACTTGGCCCAGTGCGCAACTATACTTACTTAAAGTTGTGTACCTAACGTCGACATTACTTGTTTGGTTATCCTATTAGACGTGTGAAATGCAGACAGTTATGTTCGCACTTCTATAGTCTATCTTTATCCTTCTGTCGCGATTGCCAATTCTGTGTATGATACAGCAGCAGTGGAAGTACTACTACAGTATACATTTGGCTCCTAACAGACACCCGGATGTCGCCATAGATATCTTAATTTGGCAAATATTCAGAATAAGAGATTCCAGCACAAGTACAGTTCAATTGTTCTAGATGACTGAAATGGCTCTTTTGACCTGTTCTACTCGAATGAAACTAATACTCTCTTTCAACTTGTACAAATGCTTTTTCAAGGCTCCTCTTTTCACCTTTCTTCTTTTTATCAATAGGCCCAGGTTTCTACCGTGTTTCGGCAGCGTATTTTACAAAAGAAAAACAAAGAGCTGCAAAAATTGCGGAAAGGTGCAACTAATGTAAGTTTGTTTCTCATTTTTTGATAACTTATTGGTTACTCTACTGCCCCTAAGTTCAACCCGACAGTTGTTCTATAGGAACACTGTTTTTGAACTCAGAGGTAGCGAGTAAAAGCAAAACAATAGATTTGTTAACGGTGTTCGGACCTTCTTCTGTCAGTTAGGGGATGATCTCTTGTTTCGATCGTCACATCTCACTTCGCTTTCCTTCATTCGAGAGATCCACAGCATGCTAGCTTTGGCAATCTGAAGGTGTTGTATCCTTTCTAAATCGTGTCTTTTAACCAATCGGTAAACTTCGCGCCGACTGACCTCCTAGGCTGGGGATAAGCGACATTGTAGCTGCCCACGTTTTGCACAGAGTGCAATCCAATGCCTGTTTCAGTGGTGATTGTGGTATTTTCGGGCGGGAGACCAACGTGTTCTGAGTCATCGCGTACCATGTTTAACTAGGATTTTACGTTTCCACCACAGTGACAGTGCATAATGACGGTGCTTTTGCGACTTTGGTCAAATCGCTGTTCTGTTTTTCTCATTGCGGACCCAAACCATGGTAACGGTCTTCATTTACCAAGCATTCGAAAGCTGTTCACTCCATCTGATTCCTAGAATGTTTCTTAGTTTTCAGTGATCGAATATCTAACTTTGACAGTTTTAGACTCTTGGTGGCGAAGCTCTGTAGCGCCTGACAAGGCGGGTTAAACGTATATCATTTAATAATTAAATAGTATGTTCCGGGTGTTGTTCTTCCTACGCTTTCTCATAGAAAGAAAATTGAAAAATTCATCTGAATTTTTCCAGCTACCATTGAGAACTGACACCCAAATTACTGGCAATCTAATTTTAGTCTAAGTTATTTTTATACTGAACCCAGGATATCGGTGATTGCTTATATTCATTAAATGTGTGTGCATAATTTATCTCTTGACCATCGATTGTTCTCTTCACTTTTATTTTTCATTGAATAACAATTTTTAGGATAGAGCGAGCGGCCAACCAAACGGTTGCCATATAACACAATGGTGAAATCCACGTGGTGGTGATGGGATTCGAACACTTCCTTTGGCTGCCATCACCCGTTGTACTCCATAATGTTTTCTCCTGATGATTGAATCCTCTGCACATAAATCACCCCCTATTCTCCCGTCGCCCTTTATTTTGATTTCACGAGTGAAGCATGCAGATTTCACATTATATCCGCCACCCAAAACAAACTATTCCTTCTAAAATTCTAGTGTTCAGCAAGACGCAGTATATCTAATATGCATCGTTCCTAGGCGCAATAGAGAAACCAATTGTATCTTCGATTGAAATTGTTTCCCTGATTGGTCTTGTTGTATACTGTTATTAGTTTTCCATGCGTTTTAAAAATGTTTCTGATAGCTGCATCCATTTCTCACCCCTTTTCTGTTTTTCTGTTCAGTCGGAAGCGGGCGAGTCTCATCCAAATGAATCCGGTCCGGCTAAGACGTCCGCTGTAAAATCGGATGTGAACCATCGACATTTCCCAGTCTGTAAGTTATGTGATCCAGATTCGCACTCAAATGGCTCCGTGCCACTTTAATTTTGCAACGCCAAAGCGTCCTGATTGCGGCCTTTTTATTTGTAGTTCTGCACTTGTTTCGAGTTCAAAACAAGAGGAACAATTAACGTGACGTGTCACTTTCCGCCCTCTCGTCACTGGTCCTCCTTCTCCTACTTCCCCCAAAAGATCCTTATTGTGGTTCACCAGAAAACATTTGCTTTTCCGTTTTTTAGAGTCCACGTAAAAAAATTTGATGGATAAACACGTTCTGTTACTGTCCCCCCCCCCCCGGG